GAGACGCGATCTCGACGCTGCTCCCTTGGCCGCAGAGTATCAAATGGCCAAAAAAGCTTTGAAGAGGACCATCAAGGCCAGTCAATGACGGTGCTGGAAGGAACTGTGCCTGTATGTCGACCAGAATCCATGAGGGTTAGGGAATCAAATAGTCACTCGCAAACTTGGAACTAATACGAAATGAATCCTTCAGGATGCGAAGATGCTGGAAAACATCATTCATACCCTATTCCCCTCATATCCGAAGAGAGAGATTCGCACGGCGACACCAGGTAGCCCTGAAGGGACGCAATTTACTGAGCAGGAGCTACCCAAGGCCGCACCTTCTATGCGGAACAAGAAAGCACCAGGACCAGACTGCCTTCCAGCTGAAGTAATGAAAGCTGTCGCGCAGAGTCATCCCAAGCTCTTGCTAAACATGTACAACATGTGTCTCAGGAAGACCATCTTCCCCGCCCAGTGGAAGAAATCCAGGCTTGTGTTCATAAGCGAGGGCAAGGATCCAGCAGATGCCGCTTCGTCATACAGGCCTATTTGTATGCTCGATACAGCTGGCAAGCTTCTGGAGAAGCTGCTTAGGCCACGGCTGCACGCATCCTTAAGGGCAGCAGGAGATCTTGCTGCCCGCCAGTGTGAATTCCGATCTGGCCTCTCCACCATCCAGGCAGTCCAGGAGGTCGTCACGGCCGCTAAAATGACGGAGCGAGGGAACAATCTAACTGGCCCTTTGTGTCTGTTGGCCACCTTAGACGTGAGAAATGCCTTCAACTCCGACAGGTGGGACTTGGCAATGGAAGCGCTCGAACGTAATTTTAGAGTCCCGGAGTACCTACTCCAAATACTCGGGAACTATCTGAACGAGTGCTTCCTAGAATATAGTAATGGCGATGGTCCAAGAAACTTGGAGTTAACATCGGGGGCAGCCCAGGGCTCCATACTGGGACCGGACATTTGGAATATTTTCTACGACGGTATCCTATGTATGGCAGTCCCTGAAGGCGCTTTCTTGGTTGGGTACGCATATGACCGTGCAGTTGTCATAATCGCAAGAGACACGGAGGGGGCACAGTTGCTGCTCAACCAGGTCGGGCGCAGAGTCATCTCCTGGATGGAAGATCACGGGATATCGCTGGCAGCCCAGAAGACAGAGATCGTACTACTAACGAAGAAGCGCATTAACACCTTGCGCAGCTTCATTGTAGGAGACACGGCGGTCCAGGCTAAGTCGGCTGTCAAATATCTGGGTATAATGCTCGACAGAAACCTGAATTATGGCCAGCACAAAATCAGGGCAGCCTGCAAGGCGGCAAAAATAGTAGCCTCGCTTGGCACACTCATGGCAAACGTCAAAGGGCCCCGACCGTGCTGGAGGCGACTACTGATGCGTGCCGCCGAAGCAGTGATGCTATACGGCGCAGATGTCTGGGCCGAGGCGCTGCAAGAGGAGAAATATCGCAAGGGCATCGCCGCCGTACAGAGGAGGGGTGCTCTACGAATCGCGTGCTCCTACCGCACGGTCTCTGAGCCCGCGGTGCTAGTGGTCGCGGGGGTAATCCCGATCGATCTATTAGGCCAGGAGAGACAATTCGTCTACTAGCAAAGGTGTGTTCTGGGAAAGGAGGAGGCATCAAGGCTCGCCAGGTCTACAAGCATCGACACCTGGCACAACAGATGAGAACATGAGAATCGGGGAAGATGGACGGCCCGACTCATCAGTCGTCTAGACAGCTGACTAAACAGAGAGGTGGGAGAGGTCGACTTCTACCTCACTCAATTTTTGGCAGGGCATGGTCTGTTCTGCTCCTACTTCTCAAAAATGAGGAAAGTAGCTGACGGCAACTGCCCCTATAGAGACTCGACCGTCGACAACGCCTACCACACATTCTTCAAATGTGTTAGGTGGAGCGTCGAACGATTCGCCTTGGAGCAATACCTGGGAAAAATCTCGCCAGGCAACATTGTCGAGAAAATGCTCCTAGGTCAGGAGGAGTGGGACGAGGTAGCCCGGTACGTCAGGACCACCTTGCACAGAAAAAAGATGGAGATGGGTGGCACATAGACCTGCCCCAAACGCTGCTCCAAGCTCCTGACGCGTAGAGCCGTGAGGAAAGTCCCGTAAATGGACCTGATGCAGTGGAGGCATCCCGAAGTAGTGCCACATGACGATGTCGGGATGGTTTCACTATACCACTAGGAAGGACATGAGTTCAGTCGGTAATGACTATTCCAATGGTGAGCCCGACACTCCAGGGACCTCAATGGTGGAACCAAATAGTGAAGGGCTCCTCTGGCAGGCGTGGTCCCTTGGTTAGTGCGTGAAGACTGGCATTCTCTGTCCATCAAAAAAATAAAGAAAAAAAATTATTACCATTGTTATTATTATTGCTATTATTATTTTTTTGATATTGTTATTATTATTGTTATTATTATTATTATTGATATTGTTATTATAATTATTTTTATTATTATTATTATTTCTATTGTTATTGTTATTATTATTATTATTTCTATTGTTATTGTTATTGTTATTATTATTGCTATTGTTATTATTATTATTGTTATTGTTATTATTATTATTGCTACTGTTATCATATTTGTTATCGTTATTATTGATGATATTGTTATTATTATTTTATTGTTATTGTTCATTTTATTATTATAGTGTTTGTTATTATTATTAAAAATATTTTTGTTACTATTATTATAAATGTTATTGTTATTGTTATTATTATAGTTATTGTTATAATTATTATTATTGATATTGTTGTTCTTACTATTATTGTTATTGTCGTTGATATTATTCTTGTTATTATTATTATTATTATTATTGTTATTGTTATTATGGTTGTTATTGTCAATAATATTATTATTATCATTAATATTGTCATTAATATTATTATTGTTATTGTTATTGTTACCGTCATTATTATTATTATTATTATTATTGCTATTATTGTTATTATTGTTATTGTTAATATTATTATTACTGCTATTGTTATTAATATTATTATTGTTATTGTTATTATTATTATTATTGTTATTTTTACTATTATTATTATTGTTATTGTTGTTGTTATTATTATTGTTGTTGTTAATGTTATTAATATTATTACAATTATTGTCATTACTTCATTATTATTATTATAATTATTATAATTTTTGTTATTGTTATTGTTATTAATATTATTATTATTTTCATAATTATTATTATGATAATTATTATTATTATTGCTATTGTTATTATTATTACTATTCCTATTGTAATTATTATTATTAATGTTATTGTTATTTATTTTATTTTGGTTATTGATATTATTTTTATTATTGTTATTGTTATTATTATTATTGTTTTTGTTATTATTATTATTTTTGGTATAGTTATTACTATTTTTATTGTAATTGTTATTATTATTATTACTGATATTATTAATATTATTGCTATTGTCATTATTATTACTATTGTAACCTTTATTATTATTATTATTGTTATTGATATTATTAGTATTTTTGTTATTGTTATTAATATTATTGTTGTTATTGTTATTATTATAATTATTTCTATTATTATTATTATTATTATTGTTATTATTATTATTATTATTTTTATTACTGCCATTGTTATTGTCATTATTATTGTAATTATTATTATTATTATTGTTATTGTAATTGTTATTGTTATTATTAATAATATTGTTATTGTTATTAATATTGTTATTTTATTATTATTATTATTGAAATTCTTATTATTATTTTTATTTTCTTTGTTATTATTATTATTGTTGTTATTATTGTTATTATTATTATTATTATTTTTACTCTTGTTATTATTGTAATTATAATTGATATTATTAGTTTATTATTACTATTGTTATTATTACGATTATAATAATTATTATTATTATAACGATTATTCTTATTATTATTATTATTATGATTATTATCATTATTATTCTTTTTTATTGTTGTTATTACAATTATTGCTATTGTTATTTTTATTATTATGGTTATAGTGATTATTATGATTATTGTGTTTTTATGACTAATATTATTGCTATTGCTACTATTATTATTATTGTTATTAATATTATGAATGCTATCGTCATTAATATTACTATTGTCATTGTTATTATTATTATTATTGTTATTATTATTATTATTATTTTTGATATTGTTATTATTATTTTTATCGTTATTATTATTGCTATTAATATTGATATTGTTATTATTATTACTATTGATATTGTTATAAATATCATTATTGTTATTACTATTATTATTGTTATCGTTATTATTATAATTATAGTTATTTTTATTATTATTGTTATTGTTATCATTATATTATTATTATTGTAATTCTTATTATTATTGTTATTGTTATTATTATTATTATTATTATTATTAATGTTATCTTATTATTATTATTATTGCTATTATTATTATTGTTATTGTAAGTATTATTGTTATTGTTATTACTATTATTATTGTTATTGTTATTGTTATTATGATTGTTATTGTTATTATTATTATTTTTATTGTTAATATTATTATTATTGTTGTTGTTTTCATGATTATTATTGTTATTGATATTATTATTGTTAATAATATTATTATTGTTATTGTTATTATTATTATTGTCATTGTTATTATTAATATTATTGTTGTTGTTATTATAATTATTATTGTTAGTATTACTGGTATTATTATTGTTAATGTTTTTGTTACTATTATTATTATTGTTGTTAATTTCATTATTATAATCATTATTATTATTATTATTATTATTATTATTGTTGTTGTAGTTATTGTTAGTATTTTTGTTATTGTTATTATTAGTAATATTGTTATTGTTATGAATATTATTACTGATATTGTTATTATCAATATTATTATTATTATTATTATTGTTATTGTAATTGTTATTATTGTTATTATTGTTATTGTTACTTTTATTGTTATTGTTATTACTGTTATTATTGTTTTTGTTAATATTATTTTTATTGTTATTGTTCGAGTATGGAGCCTCGGAATGCCCCAGATGTTAATTCCAAACTTCTTGGACCATCACTCTTGTTGTATACTAGGAAGCGCTCGTTTAGATAGTTGTCAATAATTCGGAATAGGTACTTCGGAACACCGAACTTACGTTCCAGCGCTTCCCTTGCCAGGTCCCACCTGACGGAGTTGAAGGCATTTATCACGTCTAAGGTGGCCAGCAGACACAAAGATTGTGTTCGATGATTGCCTCGCTCCATCATTTTCGCGGCCGTGACCACCTCCTGGACAGCGTAGATGGTGGAGAGGCCGGATCGAAATCCGTACTGGCGGCCGGCAATATCCCTCGCTGCCTTCACGGCTGCACGCAGCCTTGGCCTTATCAGCTTCTCCAGGAGTTTTCCAGCCGTATCGAGCATACAAATAGGCCTGTATGATGAAGCTGCTTCTACTGGATCCTTTCCCTTGCTAATGAGCACAATACTCGCTTTCTTCCATGGAGCGGGAAAGCTCTTCAGCTGTGGCGGGAATAGAGTATGCACGATGTGATACAACGTCCTCGCGTCCTGAGGGATCCCTTGCGTGTTAGTCCACAGATTGCGAGTGACGATGAGGTACCCTAATCCCCACGGATTCTGGTCGTCATCGATGCACAGCTTCGTCCAGCATCGTCGTTGACTGGCCTTGATGGACCTCTTCAGTGTTTTCTTGGCCGCTTGATAGTCTACGGCCAAAGAAGCAGCGTCGTGGTCGCGTCTCTTCGTTCGTTGTGCTAAACGGCGTAGCTTTAAGCCCTTCTTACGAAGATCTGCGATCTCGTTCGTCCACCAATATAAAGGGCATCTCTGCCGTTTCGTGCCATTCTTTGGCACAGCTATCGAGCTAGCCTTTTGGATGAGCTGCATGCCTGCTGCGCTAATCAACCTGGCTTGTACAGGTGGCGGTAGACTCGCGGAAGTACTTTGTTGAGATCTCCATCCTTCCTCTATGACCAAAGACAGCCTCTCTTGATCCATTCTTACAATGTTCCACCGGGGAGGTCGCTTTACACTTGTCACGGCTGGCCTCCTATCATGTACATCGAATAGGATGTACTGATGATCGCTCCCGGTATAATCCTCGATCACCTGCCAGCCTGCGACCTTTGCCACAAGGTATTCGTTGGCTAGAGAGACATCCGTGATCGTATCTCTATAGCCAGGCCTGCGGAGGGTTGACGTCGAACCTGTGTTGAGTACTGATTGCTCCAGTCTCGATGCCACCTCCATGATTCTTCTTCCTCTGAGGTCCGGCCTAGCCTCCCCCATTCGAGAGCTTTGACATTGAGGTCTCCAGCCACAATGAGATCCCCTTACATTTCCCGCAGCGCGTCTTCCAGATCCTCCAGTTTGATCTGGAAGTCGTTTATCCGGTCGTTCGGAGTGATATATACGCTGACATAAGTCGTCGAGTTATGTCTCACCCAAACGTAACCGCGTCCGGATCCTTGGTCCGACACATGTATTGGTCGAGGATCTGGGATCCAGATGGCCGCGGTGCCCAATTCGTCTGCGTACTATCCTACTCCTGCTCTTTCCTGGTACTGTTCGCTGATTAATAACAATATCTGCTTTTTTCTCAGAGCAGAGCAAGGCTAGAATGTGATGCGCCGTCCTGATCCTATCCAGGTTACCCTGAAGTACACTCATCCTTTTTTCTACTTCTTTGCTGTTGCAAGGACCTCCTGGAATGCTTTGCAGGCCCTTGATCCCGCCAGGTGCTTCTTTGTCTCTTCACCGGTATTTGAGCACAAATAGTAACTAGGCTCGCTGACCTTGCAATCTTTGATCTTGTGCCCCGTGCCGTCGCAGAAGTAGCAAAACTTACTGCGATCAGGACCTTTG